CTACGTAGGCCAAAATCTATAAGCATTAACATCAGAAACCTTTAATACCATCGTATTGATGGATATCCTACGGTGACGAATTACAGGTCTCACAACCATAAAGCATAACTGAGCAAACTATGGCCCACTATGCATGAATTTTCAACTTCAGAGAAATATCGTTTCTACTCCAGAGGTGTTTCAGTTCTTTGGGCGCTAATAAGACCGTGGAAATGCATACGATTATTTGGTTTTCTGCGCTACCGTCATTGAACATTAACTGATTTTGTTAGGCGAAGCGATTCACTTCAAGTACCATCTGGCGGTTTCGTTTCAAAGCGGGACAATTTGACACCCATTCTTGCAGCATCACTTTGAAACCTGAAGGAGCAAGGCGCGTAACGAATTTAGTAACATTACATGCTAGTCCGTCATTTACGCCTGCGCTTCGTCAACATTGGGACACAGATGATATCATCTGTAAGCTCTAAATCGCTAAGCTTTTGTCTCATTGCCCATCGAATGCCAACATTTAGGAGGACATTTAGTGGTTTCTTCAGCATGTCATCTACCACGAAATTGAACAGAAGTGGCGAAACGGGATACCCTTAAAAAAAAGCGCTCTTGCTAACGGGGAACCAGAAGTATGTGATTGAAATGACCTCAGTAAGTAAACATAAATTTGGGGTTTTCCTTGTCCAAGAAGCAAACCCAACAAAATTTCACGGTCAACGGATTCAAGGGCTCCTTTTAGAATAAAGAACACAACGTAAAATTTTGATCAATGTATTCACGACCGGGCCGGGATCCGACTTACTGTTCGCGGAAACTGGCCCCGCTTAAAGGAATAAGACGTTGAGGTATCACGTATGCTAGTACTCCGATGACGATGAAGATCAAGCTTATCAAGCGGTGTTTCGTGAAGCCGTCACGAGATCATTTTGTAGAATGGGAGCGTGACTTGTCATAGTGGATTGACGGAACTTTTGCGGCTAGCTATTGCGCAATAAATCAATAAGAAAGCTTACAAATTTATAACCGCATCTTAAAACGACAGGAAGGAAGGCTGTCCGGTCCTGCTGCTTTTCGTCTCTTCAGAGCTTGAGTGCAAGAATGGGCATTTGATTCCACCAGAGGATCACTTGTCACTGACCACGGAGCTTCAGCTGCAGAAGTGGTAATCTGGATAGCACAAGACCGATTGAACTTTTCGCTGAATCACTTGAACTTGAGTCCCAGATACACTAGCAACGTTTGATGCGGAATGTATTGCTCGTCTTATCGGATTCCACTGCTCACCCACACTATCGCGTTGAAGAGCACTTAGTTAATGCATTGGTATCAATTATAGTGTGCAAAAACTGCTGGGTCAGACAAATGATGATGATCTTATTAATTTCGTTCCTTTTTTATAGACGACCAGTAGCTTGGACGTGAATTGCATCGAAAATAGTCCGTGGTTGGACTCAGTAGGACCTGTAACTTCGTACTGAGTCACCTTACCAGTAGCTTACTACTATCTCGTCAACTTGATCTAGCGTACCAGTTGATTTGGGGCGTAACGTTGCCGTGCCGATGAGAATTGTGTCGGACGCAGGTACTGGACAGAAACGGATTGTGGTTTCTGGATAAATAAAAACGTGTTTTGCTGTTATCTGTTCGCTAGCCTAGGTAATCTTTGAAGCTAGCTGTTTTCTAAACGGGCGTTAAAATCACCTTCAAACTTTAACAAAGTTTCGGCCTAACCGAATGTTTGTCGCAGAAATCAGAAATACAGTTAGTCGGTGCTTATACTGAGATGAGGAACGAATAAATTCTGATATTGCTTCTCCTCCGGACGTTGACTGATATCTGATCGCATGTAAATAGATAGAAACGGGGATGAGAGAGACTTTACCTCTATTATCGAGTGCAACATTTACTCCGCGCTGAGAAACTAAAAGAACTTCAGCATCGCCGAATATGCGGCAAAAGTACTCCCGGTTGGGGAAAGATAGGGTACCAAGGAGTTTCTGTAGGCAGATATCCTAGATGGGATGAGTTTGTATTTGGAACGGACGGGGGTGGGTGGGATTCACATGCATAATGTGTAAAGAATGGATGAAATCAGAAAGAAAACTGTCGGCGAATTTCAAACACTCATCAATATGAGCATCAGAGATATTGCCAATCAGAACAGTAAATGGAACTTGGAAAATACTGCTGATCACTGAGGGGCTGTCTCAGCAGCTTGAACTCAGCCTTCAGCAAACCAGGGGAAATCACAGGGAAACAGTGATGGGGTATAGGAAAAATAGATTGTTAAACAAAAGCGACTACCGTCGACCGATCAGAACGGAAGTGACGATACATACCAAATAGATCCCAATTAAATTGAATTATTTTTATGAGTATTTTGTTTGAAAACAATCATTACACTGTATATCCAAGCGTTTCAATTTAGGCTAATTCGCACGTCTGGCATGGAGTATTCTATGTTTTTGGTTTAAAATGGGGTTTATGCAAATCTAGACCTTATCGGCAGTATAAATTAATGTAAATTAAACAGCCGTTTTTCTCCATTATCATTAGTTCCTTATGCTTTATTATTGAATTATTCTTTTGGGGATATTTTTTGAGCTGAGGACATGAGAGATTCATTATCCAGACTGTTATCTCCTCATTTTGTTGCACCCAAAGCAGTTAAACGTGAACCATTTTGTTACTGGCCGTCGAAATTTACTTGAATTTGCCTATTTTGTGAGAGTAGATCGGTACCTAGTCCGGTAGCAAACTCAGGCGATATCCACACAGGTAATACAGCTCACAACTTAATTACCCCTTGTATTAAAACGATAGACTAATACTGGAGGAGAACATTCTTCTGATATAGGTTAATTCTATAATCAAAGAGAACTGTGTTTGTGCTGCCATATTCAGGGTCATGCATTTTAGAACTAATCATTTTGTTTCTTACGGAAAAATTCTCACCTAATTCGGTGTGAATAAGGCTAGAATGTTGAGAGCATTTTCCGAGCCAGTGCAATTCAAGAGGTTTTTACAGTTAAACTAAAACTTTGAAATGCACATTAGTAAATCGGTCAAAATCATGTTGACGATTCTTGTTTCTGAATTATTCCCGGGTTATTGCCTTCAGTTGTTACGCTGTTTGACAGGAGACATGAACGTAGAGCAGTTGAATTTCACCGCTTGCCAGCCCTGTCCCTCGCCATCCTAACTATGCCAAATGGATTTTCATCTCTAAGTACTGTTGACATTAACATGCATTTCTGTATCCTGGCCTTGTGCAACTGGTTTAGCGTACGTATCTCGACAATAACGTGTACGTCAGATTGACAGTTTGGACAATAAGAGCAATGAACTGCTGCTGTGAGATTTTACCAGATTTTGGGCAATAATTATGAAGCCTATGCACAACTGCTTTTCAGCGGAAGTATCCTGGGCATTGGGAAACGAGGCAAGCTATAGTTCTCGCTATCAATGGCTAATAAAGTTCTGTATTTCGTAAGTGAATGGGAAATAATGAAATGTAGCAATTGTTTTGATTAGAAGACAGCCTAATCAAAACATGTTTAGCCGAATTCCTTCTCAACATAGGGAAACCGCATTTATGTGAAACAATGGTGGTTGGGATAAAAAGAGAAGGGAAAGAATTGTGCGGGCCATGGTGCAGTTGATTGACCATTTAAACGTGTATCATTTTCAAAGTATGTAAAGTGCAAAATGAGGGGCGTCATCGTCCTGTGAAAAAGAGATGTTTTTCTTTATCGGTCGAGGAATTTTGTATGCCTGATTTGACTCCTATCTTTGCTGACCTTCGAAGCATTAATTTTCTCAAACGGGGCGGTGAAACTCCATATGTTGAGCCTACGTTAACTGAGTAACTGATCTCTGAAAAATGAGCTCAACATACATTGTATAAATATGAGCATGTGTGTAGAGTTTATTCGTTTCACTGTCAATAATATTCCTTGGCGTTTGACCTGAGTAGGTTGCAATATACTGTACTTGAGTTAAGAGATAACTTCAAATGGGTTGGACAGTTCACCGTTGTTGTGATTAGGTAGGATATTTATAATGATTGAAAGTTATTCGGTTTGCTAAGTTGCATCATTAGTCCAGTTATTTTGCTCGAAAAATTTACCGCAATTTATTCAACTATCACACAGGTTGAACTATCGTACATAGATTTCAGTTGAATTTTACCCGAGAGAGTCACCGTAAATTTGAACCGTGCATCAAACCCCCACGGATAGCTGAAGAAATAAAATTATTGCCTTCTTTGTTGTGCTGTACACGAGAAACGTCCCATTAAGCAAATGAATCACAAAACGTCTTATGCGTATGCGGCATGAGTTGGCTGGGTAACACTAAATATGAGAATAGTAACGATGGGACGGGGAATGTTTGGATTAATCTATTCGGTTTTTTCAGGCAATAGGCACTGTTGATAATCTTGGATGTGGTTTTCACTCCTTGGGAGATCGTTAATTCCCCATGAGATAAATGCATTTAAATGTGATGGAAATCCTTGTGAAGGCCAATACAGAGCACTGGACAGAGAACAGGAAGAAACAAAGTAGCGACGAGTAACTATTAGAGATCAACGCCAGATACTCTTCCTTTAGATTGTAGATGTAGTGCACTTAATGAAAACTGAACAGTGATTTAACTACAATTGCTCAATGTTTCAAATATGAAACAGATCCTACCGTCTAAGACTTCTATGATAGTTAGTAGTGATGTTCGTCGAACTACAGGAACTCGAGCTCAAAACCGCAAGTAGAATAATAACCATTTTACCTTGAAAGGGGAAGTTACTATGTACCAAATTTAACACAGTACGGTATGCAGTACATGACCTTCGGGTCTGATAGTAAATGTTGATTTACGCGGTATGTATTTATGACTTTGAAGTTCAAAAATGCTCAACGGATCGAAATTATCGTTATGATATGGGAGCAAGGTCAATCATAGTAGTAGTTTAAAGACATCTATATATCCTCGATGCATGTCAAATTATGATTGCCGGTTCTCACAATTTATCACAGGCCTATGATGGAGGAATTCCACGTTTGAAGACTTCTACCATCCTGAGAGTTTTATTCAGTCCGCCATTTTATCCACCCTTGCATACGGATCATGCCGAACAGGAAGATAATCCTAATGGGCAAGTAAATGGGAAAATGTCACGAGGCAACCGAACTCGAAACTCGAATTCCCGTGGTCGCGGATCACGTAAAACCGTTTGGTTGGGTGGTGGATTTATTACCGGTGATGATGATTTGACAGGAATCGGGATTTTACTTGGTTTGGTGATCGCTGTCGGCCTGTTTGTTTGCTTCGTCTTGCTGATCGTCACCATTCTTCTACGCCAGGCTCATCATCTCCGTCAAAGGCGTCGTCTGGTGAATATAACCGCATCACCAAAACATGCTGACACAGGTTCGGATGCGGCACAATCGAATCTGACAAAAAAGCCGACTCCCACTCCGGATATTCAGCTTATGGATACACAATTGTACACTCCGTTTGTTGGACTTTATCATTCAGACGCACCATCAACATTTCTCTCGATACAACGAACCGGTTGGAAGGAACCGGTTTTGGTGGATCCGAATTCCATGTGCCCTTAGCGACTCCAATTCTTCCAAGATCACTTCCACTACTATCACCATAAAAAATTAACTTCCGTATATTCAGTGCAAATCTCTCGCATTTTTCAATGTCTTTTCCCTTTCTGTTCCCTAATCCGTCCTGATTCCCCAGTTTTCCATATCTCACTAGGGGTGTATTTGAGATCCGTTGTGTATTTTTGTAAAGATATTATAATTGTCTCAATCACGTCGCAAAACAGTGAATGATCGATAATCCATTTTGCACTCGCTCACACATTTTGAACAGATATATCTGGTCAAACCTCTGCGACATCGAATGAATCGGATCGCCGCCGATGAGTGAAAATCGGCGAGTTTGCGCTCCACGTTATGGTGATACATGTTTGGTTTTTATGACGCTCTACTTTATCTGTACACTAATTTGCATATAGCTCACGTTTTTAGCCTGTCACGTTACAAAGGGTCAGAACTGGGTCAGAAGGATGCAGGAAATCTCAAGGTTCTAAAGAAGACAGATCGTATAGCCACAGACTGACACACTTTGGTTGATTATGGGTTCAATAAAAGGAGGGAAACCGTGTGTATTCCATCCAAATGATACCCAAATAGCGTGGTTTTCGAGAGTTAATTTTCTTGTGAAATATCTGCCGTCTGCAGTGATATACAATTTGCATTATCTCGTGTTGAGTAGAAATGTGGTTTTCAAAGATGGCTCTCTTTCACTACAAATAGAATATGATGTTAGACATGTGGTGAAATAAATGCTTTTTTCATTTAGTGAGAACAAATTCTGATGTCATTGGTTTGCCGTCATGACGAACCATCCCAGCGCACCGGAACATGTCATTAGCAATTATAATCAGAGAGGGTTTCCAAGTTGAATGCCAAAGAAATCTCTGTGATGACCCATGAAGAGCACTGAATAGCCCAGTCTCATTTGGAACTCGTTATTGTCTACTTCTGGTGTTTCTGAGAGGAATCAAACTGCGAACCTTTGGGTTAGGAGTCACTACTCCAATTTCTGAACTACATAACCGACAAACATAAAATTCTGCGAAGAGCTAAGCTAATTAAAGTGCATTTAAATACGATGGAAATATTTTTTATGACCGACCAAGAGCACCGGACAGCGGTTTCTTCCTGTTTGTGACTCGTCAACAGTGCGTACATTTTGTTTCCCTCTCAGGACTTGAACCGCTAACCAATACAAACTTAATACTCTAAAACGCATTTAAGTACTTTCAACCGATGTGGAATTAGGGACCTCTCAATGGGTGAAACCCACACCGAGGATCCCCAACAGTGCCTGTTGCCTGTGATCAAGGCACTCGCGCAAGGTGATGACCTGCAGCCTTGTGGCTCAGTTGTAAAAGTGTGGACACCCAACCTGAAGTTTCGTGGTTCGAGTCCTGACGTGAATATTGGAAGTAGGCACTGGTAATGAGCCTCATGGGAAACAAAGCAGCTGCCCAGTGTTTTTGTCGATCATCAAAAAGATTTCTTTGTCACATTTTTGAATGAAGGTTTAAACCAGCTGCATAACATACAACAGCCTAGGAAACCGAGGGATTGCATTACTGAAAGATGAACTGAATATGCAACTCACATCATATATATGATAGTTATTCAAACGACTCTGATTCATAAGGGAAGCTTTTCAGATAGATAATAAACGCGCGACTGAATCTAAAAGGTCTCTACATTTGTTCGGCAGAATAACCAAAATAAATGCGTTGTTTGACGGAGATAGCGAACAGAAATCTATATATATATATATATATATATAACTTAGTTTATGCCGCCACTAACAACGCACACGGATTTCTCTACGATCACACTCCGTAGAAGTTAATTTATCAACGGCAGCTGAATTTAAAAAATATTGAATAGTTTGACGCTCATAGCGAGCATTTAGTCTCGTATTTACCAAATTTGGCCTATGTATTGATCAAAAATAAGTTGCTCGCTGCGATGTGTTCAAAATGCTTGAATGGAATATGGAAGTAATGTTTTGTCCCTTCTAGGCGTAAAAAGGGTTTCGACGTGACGTTTGGCTGAAACGATTGCGAGTGTATTGTCCTACGAAAACAAAACACAAGTGGACAGCCAACAGTGCCACGAATAGAGACGAAGCTTCAATAACGTCACAAAGAACCTTGTATAATTCGAGGGCCAATCAGGGGTTGTAATGCAGTCCAGGAAGAATCATTGGAAATAATAAAAATAAAATAAATTGAGCAAGGTCTATAAGAGTTTCGTGATGTCGGATATATCCACAAATGTTGTCATACAAGCATGGTACGAGGATTCAACACCTTGTGCCAAACTAACGGGTTTTGCTGATTGCACGAAAAACAACGAAAACGACTAGCAATATGGAAATTAACAGTCCCATGGTAACAATCGTTTTCACCCCTATTCTAGTCACCTTCCAACACTGATTCTTATCCGGAGAGTGACTTTGAGACCGAAATGATAGATTTGTAGATAAAAGGGGATACAAGGGGAGAGTAGTGAGCAGTTAATGTACGAGGCACAAAATCAAAGATCTTATCACCTTTTATAGAATCAATTATTAAGTAATATTCACATAGAATTGCAGCAGACAGTGGACTGTTGATATAGGTTATCATAAAAGGTTAAAGCATTGTGCTCCGGATTCAGTCCAACTTGAATGTAGATGTAAAATATCACATTCAATTCACTCAGCCCCCAAAGTCATTTCATCTGAAAGACAATTTATGCTGATCGCTATTAGACCAAACTGGCAAAACTTTGCACGTTTGATATGGAATGTGTGTCACAGATGTCGTATTTGGTATACAAAACAAAAGAAGGCGGTCAATTTGTAAGATTGATCTAAACTTTGCCAATGCTCACTTGCTTTTGTTGCTTCGCTTAGTCAGCGAAGTAATGCACCGTTGTTTTTGAATTCCTTTTACCTTTGAAAAAGGATTCATTCGATCTAGGACTGAGTGGGTCTGTTCACAGGTGCACGTACTGGCACTGCTCCGACTCATTACATTTTTTATCAAAACAAGAAAATAAACAGCGGTAGAGTTGAGATACACAGGAAATTGGGCATGTTGTTGTCCCACTGTATGCACTGTGTTACACAATAGGGTCCTAGAGAGAAACATCACAATTAAAGCATCTAACTTATTAAGTTTGGCAGAGATTGAGTTAAAAACGAAGTTGAATTACCGTGTTACTGAGCTCCAGAAAAACGTACAATAATAAAACTTCAATCGATGAGTACTTGGCTCAATTTTTATCAGTCGAATCATTATCTCCTCGAGACCAGAAAATTTCAACATTTTCAAGATGGTGATGTAATAAAGTAAATTTTCAGTTCTACAATGATACTCAATTTCAAAGCTGAGCACGGCTCGATAGAATACCATTTTAAAAATGGAGTTTTTCACTACAAAAACAAAAATCTGAATATCAAAAAGAATTCAACAAATAAACATACTGCAACCATCAGAGAATGAAACAGCTTTGTCATATACGCATTTATTGGGACTCGTGGAGTACACCTAAATGAGAGTAAATATTGGTGTTGGTGAGTTCTCCGGGTTGGAAGTGTTGTGTGCAAACAACACTTCCAGCTCAAACACCTCAGCAAAACTAACATCCGCATTTCGAGCTACAATTGTTCCACATCATTGACATCAGCTAAAATACACTTGGCGCATGGACTGAAAAAAATCTGCTCGCTTCAACAGCTGAACGCAACCAAATTGATCATTGCAGAAACGTGAAAATTTGAGTAGTTTAGGAAGGTAAATGCTACAAACTACATGATTGTCTTACCTGTGGTAACTGAACAGCCTTTCTTAGTGACAAAAAGATGATGAAATAATCAGTGAGATACGCAGGAACCTCGAAGTTGTTCATCTGATAATAAAAATGGTTTAGGTAACTTTTATAACTCCAGTAAAATTCTCTATTGCAGCTTGACGTCAAATACCAATAATGGTACTACTATGGTTCCAATGGGTAATTCTATCTACCGATTTATCTATCCATATATATATATATATCACCTACAATACAAATTTGAACTTTAAATTCGATAAATATACATTTATAGATGACAGGAAACGGGCACGGCATTTGAAAAAGCATACCGTGTTTCATTCGCGCCACTGGCTTCTATTCCGAAACGTATTTCTCAGTGTCTCTAACTAAAGACAATTCTTATTCCGTGCGCCTTATCCTAGAAGTCGGTCTACACCAGACAAAGTCAAAGTTGAATCCAGAAAATTCATACATCTGCACCATGGCATCCTCTGACCACCGCGGTGCATCTTCCAGTCTTGCCGAGAACGTGCATAAAGATCATGGAAAAGTAAACGATGGGAAGGCATCTGTAAAACCTGCCCAAGACACCGTAGGCGATGTACATCAATTACTTCTTTTACAGAATGAATATCAACAACCAACTCAAGACGACAAAATTCATCACTGCATTCTCAACTCGGAGAGGCCAGGTCTCCCAATCCTAACGCAGAACACCACGAAATGTGGCATTGCAAACTTTTCCATTGAGATAAGGTTCATGGCATCGCCACAGATGTCGCACGGTTGCTCTGACTTTTGCTGTTCGCGGTGTGATCTTGTCACCAACAATAACACCTCCTGCGATCAACCTCTCGAGACACTTAAAGGTCCCAAGCACTTCCAGCTTATCACCCTAGAGGGTGATTGCAGACACAGACTCCTGCTAATTTTGAACAATCATTTGCGCGAAATACATACCATACCTGCATCCCTCTTTTAGTGACGACAGAATGCCTTAGTTCTGCATTCCTAGTAGTGTCCACTAACGTATCAGGAAAACAGACTAAAATGTTTAATCCTGTTCTGCCTTCAACGCCTCGCGTTTGTTATTACCAATCCTTGGTTAAATGTGCAACTATTTCACTGTTGTTAAGGCTCATAAACAATAGATTCCAACTAATTTTTATTGTTCTGAACCTGGATGTGTCTAATTGCATTTTGTGCATCCTAGT